AGCTGCTCAGGCTGCTGTGTGTCAAACCAATTCATTTAAGCGCTGCAGAGTGTTCACCAAACAAACCTACCACACTTAACCTCTCTACACCCTTACTCATAGCCATTTAGGCTGTTCCCAGGGCTTAGCTGTCACAAATAATGCTGCAATTATTCTGAGCTTTCACAATCAGAAAAAAACAGTCATTGGGTTTAAAACCAACAGTAGGCTCTGGAGAGAAGATGACAGGAGGTATGGCTGCCCATGGGCAGGAAGCATTTCTATTCCAAGCCTGGGGTTTCTTACTCCAGTTGTGCAAGGGGCCTCCACAAGTCACTCCCTGGGGGTCTGTCTGCTGCTGTGATGGTCCAGGGGTCCTTGAGCTGGTGTCCTATGACCCTACACACACTTTGGCACCTACGCCTTCAACTGCTGGATGTGGACACCTAAAGCAGCCCCGTCCCCGACTCCTTCCAGGAGTAGCAAACACTTGGTGCTGCTTGGATCAGAACCACCTTGTCAGCTTGTTTTCTCCTCACGACAGCTTCCCGGCTCAGCACCATTGCGATCCCCGCTTTTCAGCTGGGAGATGAGGCACAGAGAAGTAAAATAACTTGCTCGAGGTCGCACAGCTCAAAAGAAGTGGAGCTGGCCTGAAACCCGGGCAAAGTGACTCCAAAGTCTGCATTCTTAACTCCCATGTTGCCTCCCATCATTTTCCACTGGCCCTGTCCTTATCTCACCGCCCTCTTTACAGCCTTGCCTCTCCCTTACTTCAAGGGAGAGAAGCAAGGGTCTGGGCCTGGACTCTGACTCCTCTCTTCCTAGCTATCAAGCCTCCAGCTCCTGTGTGCAGGCTGCCTTGGCCCCTTCATCTCCACCGCCACCTCTCCTGCAAGTCCATGTCTGACTTGTAATTCCCATCTCGAGTTGTTTATGTCCTAAGCATCCTAGTCTCTTTCTCCCTCCTGTGTCACAAAAGTGCCACCAAAGGAGTGGGGACAGGAAATGAAGTGGGAAATCTGCAGGCCGTGCCTGTTCTGTCCTTAGAGGACGTCTGTGTAACTAGTGTGAGGAGGAGGAATCTCCCTGACAATAAAAGCAATCAAAAACCTGCCGGCTTTCGGGAAGACGTGGGGTAACACAAACAGCTACTTATTAGTGGGATTGAGTGATTTTTCTGCATCTGTTTAGCTCATTGCTTAAAAAAATACTTAGGAGGAAGTAGGGAGATGGATCTCTCTCAGAGGGTAAGGGGATCAAGACACAGAGGGAGAGAAGGAACGGGCATGAAAAAAGCAATGAGGATGTGTTGTGCACATGGACTGACTCCACACAAGGAATGAAATCATTACGTACTGCAAACGTGCACTAATAAAATAAAATTTAAAAATCAAAAAGGATCAATCTGGTAAATCCTATTGCTTATTTTTTTCAAAAAGAGTTTATGTGTACTATTTATTTGTTTCCTGCTTATTCTCTCAGTTACCAAGAGAAGTGCGCTGTGAACTTCTTTAGCTATGATGTGATTTGAATAGTTCTCTTTTCAGTTATGCTGATTTTTGCCTCCTGTAGTTTAAAGCCATGTTGTTAGTTGCATGCACCTTAGGATTGTTCTGTGCTCCTGTGAAATAGCTCATTTTATCAGTAAGAAGTGTCCTCTTTCCTGATAAACCTTGGTCTGATACTAATGTAGCCACAAAAGTCTTTTACTGGAAGTGTTTCCTCAGCGTATTACTCTTTTTTCTTATAGTCAACCTATCTGTGAGATTCTACTTAAAGTATGTCTGTTATAAGCGTCATTTAAATTGCTTGTCCGCCAGCATGATATGACAGTTTCTGTCTTTTGTTATTGTTATTGCTGTTGTTGTTCTTGGTGGTGGTGGCAGTGGTGTATGTGTGTTTCACTCAGGATTGAACTACATTCCCAGCCTTTTTAATTTTTACTTTGAAGCCAGGTCTCATAACAACAAATTCAGTTTATCAAATTGAATTTGAATTTGATTCTCCTGCCAGTGGCTCCTAGAGTGCAGGGATTGCAGATGTGCACCACCATGCCTGGCTTTTGTCTTTTATTTGCAGTGTTTGATCCATGTCTTAGTTACCCAAGGTTACCATAACAAACTACCACAACTGGACCTAAAACAACAGAAATGTACTCCTAGAACTCTGGATGCTAGAGTCCAAAATCATGGTGTTGGGATCTTATGACTTGGACCGAGGGATCTCATCCAAGCTCTGGATTCTTATTCTGGAAACACTTTTTGGGTCTTTCGTTTCACAGCTGGATCACCTGTTTCCTAATTCCGTCATAGAATTAGGAAGAAGACCAGAAGTGGAGTTTGGAGGCACAGCACCTGAACTATTAGCCTCTGTTCCTATTTCATAAGAAGGGGCAAGATAAACAAAGGCAGCATTTAATCTGTACCTATCGTGTATTTTATGTGTGTACAAGACCCTCATAAACATCCTCTCAGGAAGGAAACTGATGGAAACCCTTTGCTTTTAAACTTTTTTTTCATAAGCCAGGCATAGTGGTACAAATCTGTAATTCCAGCACTTTGGGAGGCTAAAGCAAGAGAATCACAAGTTTGAGCCCAGCCCGGGCAACTTAGTGATTTAGAGAATTCTGTCTCAAAATAAAAAAATAGAAAGGACTAGGGATGCGGCTCAGTGTGAAGGTGCTAGGTTGAATCCCCAATACTGGAAAAAAAACTTTTTTCTTGAGCCACTCAACTTAGCAAGTCCATGTGAAATATTTTCCACCCAAGGAAGCCTTCTGCTTCTCACCCCGCTTATGCAACGCGACTATATAAAGCTCAGAGCCTTGAGCTCAGACGAGTTCTTGTCCTGTCCGTCAATGCCGGACTGCTGGGTGTGTGTGTGTGTGTGTGTGTGTTTATGTATGTGTGTGTGTGCTGTCTCTTGGGTGGATCTCTGTCTCCTTGCTCGATAACACCGCTCATCTGGGGTCCAAGAGGACACTGTCCGGTTTATTATCCAGACACCTTTTACCTGCTTGAAAAATCACCGCTTTTCCATCCTGGAGTGTGTTCCAGAGCATTTCCCACAGGCTCTGGAGATGTCCCAATGAGCATGGTGTCTTGTGCAACCTGGTGATACCAGAACAAGACTAAGTGGAATTTTCCAGCAGCTGCTACAGAACCAGTGCTCATTTGACTCGCTCTACTCCGGGAGTGACAGCAGAGTCCCAGCACTCTGGGAGGCTGAGGCAGAAGAATCTGTAAGGTTAAGCCCAGCCTGAGCAACTCAGTAACTCACTGAAACTCTGTCTCAAAATAAAAATAAAAAAGGCCTGAGAATGTAGCTCGGTGTGAAAGCCCTGGGTTCAAACCCCAGCATCAGAAAAAGAATTAAAAATGAAAGCTTTGCTAGCCAGGGAGGCATATCTCATGCCCGTCCAATGTGGAGTGATCAACCCTGGTTCTTCACTGAGGTGGAGCCTGGAATTTCAGGCTTGGTGTTTCCTGGCTGCAATGAGTGGTGTGACTGAGAGAAGGAACCTGCTGTGCAGGCCCCATGGCTGGTGCAAGAGGAAACACCCAAGCTTGCGTTGGAGCCCATGGCAGCATGGCAGTCTTTGAAGAACAAAACACAGAAAGGCAAAGAAGAATATGGAGCTGTTAGTACCAAGCAAAGGCCAGCATCCCTGGAGCCTGGCCAGCCGATGTGGGCTCAACTTGGGCAATGACATCCGCTCTCACTGTCTACTCTGGGGCCCTGCTGACTGGAGAGGAGGAAGCCCTTGGGGTGGTGAGGGCGCCTGCCAGGACCCACACCTGGCAGGAGAGTGGACCTCAGCTGGCTCCCAGATTTACATGGGGCTTTGGGTGCAGAAAGGGGAACAAGAAGAGGTAACTTCCCAAATTAGAGCCTTCTTCTCGGAGAATGGCCATGGAATATTGACGATAATTTGAAATCTTTCATGCTCTCTTGTTGAAGTCCTGTCCCTGAGGAATCAGATGGCCAAGAAGAGCCAGAACGCACTCCAGATTGCCCCAGGAGGAGGAGCGTTACTAGAAGTAAAAATCTGCCAAGTAAATGGCCCCGCTGCCTCCTTAGAGCCGACGGGGGACTGGCTACCCTGGCTGTTACGGGGCTCACCGTATAAAGCTGCATGTTCTTCACTTTCTCATTCCCGCTGTTTCTATGTGTGGCCGAATAAAATGAAGTGTTCTTTCCAAATGCAGTTTTTAAACCAATAAACATACTATTTTTACAGAGAAAAAATAAAGGTGTCACTAGGGCCACATGGCCTTGGGAGGCTCTCGGGGAGAATTCACTGCCTCTTCCTAGATTCAGGTGGCTGTGGCAGAACAGTGCCTATATCCCTGCCTCTGTCATCACATGGTTGTTTTCCTTCTGTGTGGATCTGTATCTAAATTCTCCCTTCTTCTAAGGATATCAGGCATCTGATTCAGGGTCCTACCTATTTGTCTTAATTTGAGTGCTTCTACAAAGACTATTTCCATGTAAGGTCCTATTTGCAGGTGCTGGAGATTAGGACGTGACTATATCTTTTATGGGGGCAAAATTCAACTCATTACCATCCATTTACATTTAACATAATTACCGATACTGTTGGAGATGGGGAAATTTTCCAAGTGATACAGGTCAAAGCACCTGGTGAGCATTTTTTTACCCTAATTAGTACAGATTACAATTACGGAAATAGAAGCCATATGTCAGACCCTTTCAGTTCTGCAGTTGACCTCAGTTGTCCATTAGAATGAAGCAAATCAAAATAAATGAGTTGTTTTCATTCCAGTGTGGCCAGGGTGTTATGATCTTTCTAGGTTATTGTGCCTGGGTTTTGTTTGTTTGTTTGTTTGTTTGTTTTGCTCTATTTTAGTCTGGAAGCTGTTCAGGTGTATCCTATTGCTACTCAGAGCCTTTACTTTGATGTTGGCTGTCTCAGATCTCTTCCCCTCCTACCCAGCCCTTCCACTATCCACAGGGTTTTCTACATAAAGAATGAATCAGCTCTTACCCCATTCCTCTAGCCAAACAACTACAAAACCATTTTTATATGGCCCAATAGTACGTAAAATGCAAAGTTCTGATCATTATGGCTTTTTAGCAAAGAAAAAAAGAGGATGTAATACCAGCCGGGGAGATAAACAAAAGTGTCTGTCTGCAGTAGTAACACAGGGACTGAATACTGAACTCTTGGGTCTGAGCAGTTCACCGTCTAAGTCCATCCTGTCTTCCAATCGAATGACCCATTGCACATCGCAGGAAACCCTCTGTTCCATCTGCCCTGGAGTCCCTCGCAGAAAAGCCGTGCTCTTCTCTGCACATCATTCTGCCTTGAAGAGATGCACTCCCCTGCATCTCACTCTGTCCTAAACTTAATTGCTTTTCGGTTGTCTCCCTGGGCCCCCTGCAAGTTCAGGGCAAACCCTGTGTTCCAGCAGGCAGTCCTGCCTGGCCCGGCTGATGCCCCCTTTGCCTTCTCTCTTCCTCTATATGCCTTCATTGCTGCCCTCTTGTTTCTGGAGTTATGCACATACAAGTCTGCTACCCTTCTTGATGGCAAGCCTTCTAAGAACAGTTTCTGTCCCTCTTCTCTCTGTGTTGTAAAATCTCAAGTGCTTTCCAAGGAGACAGATGCTGAGGGTATTGGCTTGGTGTTTGAACTGTCTGCCCATATTCAAAGTCTGTGAATGCTCCGATCCTGTCTTCCTCTAAAAATTAATGAATACGTTAATATAAATTTAGGCTCAATCCTTAGTAAAGAAATACTCCTGTTTCATTATCTCCTCTGCAGCCAGAAATCCTTGTCTCCTTGTCATTATTGAAAAATGTACAGATGTGGAATGCTACCAGATGGGATTCTTGACCATTGCTAATTTCAACATTATCTAGTTCAGGTGGAAAACAAGCCATTATGTAACAGACACCATAAATTTAACACTTAGCAAGACAGTTGCAGTGGCTTTCATCACGTGGAATCTTTCTGATATTCCTCTGAAGATTGTTACTTCATAAAGGTGGCTTTTAAACTTTTGAGCTACTTAGCAATGGGGGTAATTTTACTGTCACAATGGTGGAAACTCTTGGCTATAAAACATGTCAAGAGTTTATTGAGTGCAATGATTCATGACTCACCTGGGGACAATAAAAATGAGGTCAGTCATACACCAAAGCCTCCCTCTGGTCACAGTTCTTGCTTCACTGTGCATTAGATTTCACAATCTACCACTGCATAAAATCATACTCTTTGTGTAGTCGTGAGTACCAGATTAATTCTGCTGTGTAGGGTAGAGTGTTGTGAAATGTGGGTAAGGAAAAGATTAAGCATACCTGTATTTATCATGTTAGTCATGCTAATCACCAGATAATGATGTGACCACAGTAAGAAAGGCATCCCTTGTGACTCTTCTGGAATTAGAAAACTGTGAGAATTTCATTGGTTTGCCTGCCACTTCTGGGTAGACAGTGGCACATTTCTGATGACATTGTGGGAGTTTGGGGTTTTTGTGTTTATTTTGGCTTGGGTTTTTGCTGCAAGCTCAATCAACAGGTAAAATAGGCCTTCTCTGCCCTTGTATTTCACCTAGCAACACCCCAGGGACCCCCATTATTTAGGACTTGTTCTCCCTTGCCCTGTTCCCTTGGTTACAAACCCTGGTGTTCCTAGGCGTGTCCCTCTTACCCTGCTCACCTCTTCTCCATCCCCCATCCAGAAGTCCTAGCTCCCTAGTTCTAGTTCATTGTGTTCTGCTTCCCCGGGAGCAGTCATTCCCAGGCACTAGAATGTCTCAACAACTTTTTTTTTTTAACATGGGATTCCAAATCAGTTTAGTCAGTTTATTTTTCCAAGAAAGAATGTGTAAAACAACCACAACCACCATTAATTACTCTCACCATTATTTCATGAAAGGAAGGTCACTTGAGTGTCCAAAGAGAATGGAAATGATCTTGAAGTAGTTCTCTCATTGAAGAAATTTAATTGTTGTGTTACTACTTCCCTCATATTCAAGACTAGTAAATCCTTGGTCATGAGCAGGCCCTGGCTGTGGACCTGTAGCTCAGAATCATTATTCTGGACATTAGCACATTCTCCCAAAGCTATGACTAGCCACCTACATTTTATGATACACATAAAAACTGTGAGTGCTTGTATTCATGCCTTCATCCATTCATTCATTCATTCCAAAGTTATTAGGAAGACCTCCAAACACAAAGACACTTGTATCTGAGGTCCAGCTCCCCCACCTGACAACTGGATGACCTTAGGAGAGTCACTTAGCTGCTCTATGCTATCACTGCTGTTTCTACAGAATGAAAAGACACCAAAACTTGACAGCATTGTTCTGAGGATTGAATGAGGATTAGCAGAGAGTCTTTGTTTCAACAAAGCAATAATTTATAACTAGGACTGCTTATAGAATGGCTACTAAAACTATAATTTGTACCTATAACTATAGGCCAGATAGTGCCTGAAACTACGAAGACACAGAATCAAAGTTTCCACCATTTTTTTCCCCAAATGCTTCCCAATCTCCGGAACACTCACCAGCAGTTGGCCAGAGCCAACAAGAGCAGTGTGAGAGTGGAGACAAGCAGTGAACGGGAGGCCAAGGCGAGTCGTAGAAGATGGAGAGTCGGCACAAGACAAGATGGAGAGGCCTCTCGGGGGTGAGGCCTACGCAAACTCTTACGGGACATAAGTCTAAAACCAAACAATAACAACCAACTGGGCTTTTAGATGAGAATCAGACCGAGTTATAGTGCCATGCCTCCAATGTGCAGATTAAAGTCCGGCAGACCAAACTCCCTCTGCTATCCTGGCTTAGGCTGCGTACTGATTGAAGAAATGGCTGCCTCAAGGCAGTAATTTCCCTTTGCCTTCCAGCCTCCACTCTCAGGAAATCCTTTCCTGCCAATTCTGACTAAAAAAGACAAACTCTAGCAAAAAAGAAGAGGAAGTTGCACTGGGTAGTGTTCAGGAAATCTCAAACGTAGGGCTGTTGGGGAAACCGACGTCTGGGTGGCTGGCAGAGTCTCAAGGGGCACTCAGCCCTTGCCGCTCAGTGAGAAGTGAGGCATCGCCCACAAATCCGGGCCCCACGGACAGTGCTGAATGAAAGTCTGCATTTTAACGAGATCCCGCAGGACTTTAGTAAGTACACTAGGGTTTGAGAAGCACTAACAAAGCCCAGTTCTGGCAGAATAAGAGACAAGTGGACAGGAAGTGAAGCGCATGAGCCTTCACACTGGCTTGGATCAATCTTACTTTGATTGGATCACAATCATTGCTCATTTGCATATGTTAAAGGACAATGGCTGCTGGACAAGGAAAGGCTCTGCCCTAGAAACATTTGACTTATTACTGCCCTATTATGTTCCTTGTTGCCAAAAGAACAACCCCTCCCCCATGATCTCATTCACAATTCCAAACAACCTATCATTTCTGGCTTTTTGTTTTTGTTTTGTTTTTATTTATACTGAGATCACACAAGTCCTCAGGTTCAAGTTCAGGGCTCCTTCATCAGCCAAGCACCCCATCACTTTCCCCCATGGAGCAGATGGTCCTGCCTGGTCAGATTCTTCGTGGCCCAGGTCTAGTTCATGCCTCACGGGCACTGAATGGAGTAGCTAAGACTGATGAATACCAGGAACTCCTGATGAACAGACCAGAAAAGCTACTTCAGTCTCTGGGCAAGAGGCAAAAGCGATAAAAGACTGAAGGACTGCAGTGGAAATGCCCTGTGGGAATAGAGGCTTGGGCACCTTGGCTGGCAAAGGCAGGACATAGAAGCCAGACCAGTTCCTCCATAATTGGGAGCTCCTGGGGGTAAAATTGATTGCTAAATGGCCCCAGAAAGGGGACACAGGCATCCTGGCTCCACACAGAGAGAAGGGGACACTAACATTTATAATATCATCTAGGCATCATCTGGGGCCTTTACATTTGACACTCTTTGATTTCCTGATGATACTCCAAGGTCATCATAACTCACGAGTCACAATAAATGAAAAGACTGAGGTTGGACTAAGGAAAATTGCCAAAGTCACACAGCCAGTAATTGGTAGCATTGGTTTCCACCCACAGCACATTGTCTTTCCACCCAGACACCAGCAAGGAGGACCCACAAAGTGAGCCCTCTCCTCCTCGCCCTTCAGCTGATTCTCTAAGCTACTCCACACATTGGTTATACAGTTTGAGTCCCTATAATGCAAATATTTGAAATCAAAACCTTTTTAAGTGCTTATATAATTACATGGTAGTCAAGATTTCAGATGTCATAGGACTGGGAATATAGTTCAATAGATAATGTGCTTAGCATACTCAGGGCCCTCGGTTCAATACCCAGCACCAAAATAATTCCAGATTTTGGAGACTTTCAGATTTTGGATCAGGAATGCTCAACAGTTAAGTTTATATACAAATACTCCAAAATCTGAGGAACTCACAAAGCTGAAACCCTTTTCATCCCAAGCATTTCAGATAAAGCGCACTCAACCTGCATTCTGTTAAATGTGGTATTGCACACGAACTTGCAAGACTGGGCACCTAAGGAAGAGTACACATCAAACCTCTAATCCTTTCTCACTGCTTTCAGGTATAACATTATATAAAGGGTTGAATGGTAGACTCTCATGTTAGTTACCTTTGTGTCACTGTGGCCAAAATACCTAAGACAATAAACTTAAAGGTGGAAGATTTATTTTGGCTCATAGTTGCATAGGTTTCAGTCCATGGTCATTTGGTTCTGTTGCTTCCCGACCTAGCAAGGCAGAAACCAAGGTGGAAAGGCATGGTGCAGGAACACTCCTCACCTCACAGTAGTCAGAAAGCAAAGAAGGCAGAGCAGGGACAAGCAATCCCATTCCACATCAAACCCCAGTGACCCACCTCTTAAAAACCCTTGCAACTATGAACTCATCAGGGCATTCTTTTTTTTTATGAGGTTAGTGCCCTCATGATTCAGTAGCCCCACTTCTGAACACAATGCCTTTTGGGAGCTATTTTTTCATTCAAACCATTACATCCCTCAAATAGGTGTCTGAATCCTAAGCCCCAGGATTTGTAAATGTGACCTTTTTTAAACAAAGGATGTTTGCAGAAAATTAAGCTAATAATCTCAACATGAAATCATCCTGGATGTGTAGGGTAGGTTTAAAATCCTAACACAGTGTCCTTATAAGAAGAAGGCAGAAAGAGATTTAATTTAGTGATACAGGGACGAAATCAGGTGAAGATGGAGGCAGAGATTGGATTTCCACTGCCAAAGCTGGGGAATGCCTGCAGCCACCCAGAGCTGGAAGAGGCAGGGAATATCTGTGCCCTGGAACCTTGGGTGGGAATGTCCCACTGCTTGCACCTTGATTTTGGACCTCAGATCCCTGAAACTGTGAGGGAATACATTCCTGCTGTCTGTTCTTAGTCTTTTAACCACTCAGTTTGTAGTACCTCATCATGACAGCCCTAGGAAACTAATCTATACTGAAATTACCAGTCTTTCATTTTTTTAAACTATCATCTAAAAATCTGTACTGACACCAAGAGCCTTATACTAAAGGCTAAATAAAGCCTTACACTAAAGGTAAAGGGTAAAGAAAACTTACACTGAAGCCATTTGGCTTTGGATCAGGAAATCAAGGTTTGAAATGTTATTCTTATAATATTCAGAAATTTTAAGAATATACAGTCAGAAAATTTTATATATATATATATATATATGTATATATATATGTGAATGACAGGCTCAGCCTGGTGAATCACACTTGTAATCCCAGCACTCCTTGGGCAGGGAGGCTGAGGCAGGAGGATCCCAAGTTCTGCCTAGTGTGGACAATTTAGCAAGACCCTGTCTTAAAACATTTTTTAAAAATTTTTCAAAAGGCAAAAAAAAAAAAATCTGCAAAAGACAAAAAGTAGGACAGTTCATTAGCCACTTTGTTCTCAAGAAAAAAAAAGAAAATGTCATTTCATGCAAAATATTTTGCTGTGAATAGATAGAATTATTTAGGGATGAGGATTATGTATGCTATTCCTGTAGTATCCTAATTACCTTTTCTTTATGCATGTAGCATTAAAGAGAGAAAATGAAAAAGAATCTACACAAAGAGCTTAGATTTCACCCACAAATCTGTGTCGTAGCCTGCAATCTGTCAGAAAAGCCTGCAAATCCCCCCGCCGCATTTTTTGGTATAAACACTTTTTATTTTGAGCCTTTCTCTTTCTCTTATGCTAATAAGAAATCTTTAAAACAAGCATGAGCTAAAACAGAAGATAAGCGGTAAAGCAGACTTCTCTTAAATGCTCTACATGATCCCCGCTCTGGCCTCATTTTGAATCATTCTCAGCAAACTCTGCAACAAGCTGTCGCCCTCCAGAAGGAGCTGAGCTGGGCCTCTCCAGAGCTCGCCTAAGCTTACCTGGGAGCGAAGGAAAAGCCCAGGATGCAGACTGAAGTGGGAAGGGGATACATGGCCCTGGGAGTGCTGGTCACAGAGCAGGGGACCCAGGCATGGTGGAGCCTGAGTGTGAGTCCTGAGCTCATCAGTGAACAGCGCGAACCTAGGCAAGTTACTTTTTATTAAACCAACAACTTAAAATTGTGCATTTAAAAAATTGTTATTTATACTGGCCTGACTGCAGTCCATACTGATTGCATTCATCGTGGGACCTGACACATGTACAGGACACATCCTAATCATTTCTACATCCCCTTCCCCTCCCCTCCACCCCCTCCCTCCATCTCTTGGGAAAAATGTGAATTTTTACCGTGTACAATGTGATGCTTTGATATACGCAAGCACTGTGGAATGACAAATCCAGCTATTTAACAAACACATTATCTCACATGCTTATCTTTTTTGGGGGGTGAGAAAACTTTAAATCTACTCTTCTGGCAATTTTCAAATACACAGTATGTTGTCATTAACTCTTTCCACTATGATGTACGATTGATCTCTTCAACTTATTCTTCCTGACTAACTGAAGTTCTATGTCCTTTGACTAATGCCCCCTCCATCCTCACCTTCAGCCTCTAGGGGCCACCATTTTGTTCTCGCATTCTATGGATCTGAGGTTTTGTTTTGTTGTACCTCATGTGTGCTAGGTGAGCTCTCTACCACTGAACTACATCATCTAGCCCTCTTTTTTATTTTGAGACACAGTCTCAGCTGGCTTTGAACTTACAATCCTCCTGCCTCAGCCTCTCAAGTAGCTGGGATTACAGGTGTGTGCCTGGCTGAGTTTGACTTTTTACACTGACACGTAGGCGAGGTCATACTGTCTTTGTTGTTCTGTGTTTCTTGTTTTGAGCCAGGGTCTCACTATGTAGTTCAGACTGCCCTTGAACTCACTGTAGCCCAGGCTACCCTCAAACTTGCAGCAATCCTCTTCCCTCGGCCTCCCAAACTCTGAGATTACAGATGCGCGCCACCACGCCCAGCCATATTTATCTTTCTGTGCCCAATGCATTTCATTTAACATAATGCCCTCAGGACTCATCCATGCTGTTGCTAATGACAGGGTTTCCTTCCTTTTAAAGGCTGAATAGTATTCCATTGTGTGTATATATACCACGGTCAGTGGACACTCAGGTTGATTCTTCTTGGTCAGCGTGACTAGTGTTGCAATAGACATGGGAGTCCAGCTGTCTCTTCATTATGCTGATTTGATGCCCTTTGGATTTGCTACAATCCAGCAGTCCCACTATTGGAAGTATGGTAGTTCTGTTTTTGAGGAACTTCCATACCTGGAGACAAGCAGCTTGAGCCTCTCTGAGTCCTAGCTTCCTCGTTTGTAAAATGAGGATTAATAGTGTCCATTGCACAAAGTTTTGAAATCCGCGTTGCTAAATCCTGCCGGCAGTTCTCCTTATCCTACTCAGCTTACTAGTACTCTTGGCCACTTTCTCCTGTTGCCGTTAAAGTAACCACTGTCTCCTCCTATTCCTGCAACTCCCCTAGCATGTGCCCTCTTCCTAGGTATGGGTGCTACACTGAGATTTGGTCCTTGGACCTCATATTTTCTCACCCCCTTGATCTCACCCAGCCCATCCTCTCCCCCATCACCTTCCTGCTGAAGACTCCTGAATCGAAACCCAGCCTCATTTCTGAGCTGCGGACTACACAGTCCGCTCAGCCCTTTCTACAGCATACCCACCTGCTGTCTGCTGGACATCACATCTACTGGACCATCCACTCCCAACTCTTGATTCCCTTC